CGTGTGGAGCTCTACTACAACAGCAGCTGGGGCACAGTGTGTGATGACAGCTGGGACCTAAGAGATGCCCAGGTGGTGTGCCGCCAGCTGGGTTGTATAGTAGCCATGGCAGCCATTGGCCGAGCACATTTTGGGCGGGGCCTTGGTCCCATTGTCCTGGATGATGTAGAATGCATGGGAACAGAAGCCAGACTGTGGCAATGTCTGCACAGTGGCTGGTTTTCCCACAACTATGGCTACCATGAGGATGCTGGTGTCATCTGCTGGTGGTGAGCTGGACTCTGAGCCAGATGAGTTCATGATTCTCCAGTTCTGGGAGTTTCCTGCGCCACCACACATAAATCAGGAAGAAAATCTAGGCTAGTCCCAGGCCACTATTCCCAGCCTACCCTCTTGCTACTCATTTCCTTTAATCTGAATCTTTACTATGTGAGTTTCTTTTACAAGGAAGCTTTAGACTTCATCCGCTTAAACTGAAAGTCATGGCCACTTCCTGCATATAGACCACACTTAAACACAGATAGTGTCTTAGTTACTATTCTATTGCTATGATAAAACACCCCTGACCAAAATAACTTACCAAAGAAAGCAATTTATTTGAGGCTCATGTTCCAGGGGATAGAGTTCATGACCACTATGGTGAGGAGCATGACAGCAGGTGGGTAGGCATGGTGCTGGTGCAGTAGCTGAGAGCTAACATCTTGATCCACACAGAAGCAGATAGAGTTAATTAGGGTTTTCTTAGGCTTTTCAAACTTCAAAGCCTGCCTCCAGGGGCATACCTCCTTCAACAAAGTTACACTTCCTGTTCCTTCCCAAACATTTCAACCAGCAGGGGCCCAATCTTTTAAACATATGAGCCTATGAGAACCATTCTCACCACAAACAGTGACAATGAAATCATTGGCAGAATCAGAAATTTGTTTTTGAAAATTTGATTGGACCTGGATATAGTTAAATGTTTAAGAACACTAGCTGCTCTCCCAGAGAATCAAGGTTCAGTTCCTGGTGTACCCATACAACAGTTACACAGCCTAGGCTACATGGGATCTTGACTTTAATTGGTCTACTGATTAATACATTAAAAATAAGAATTACAAAACCAAACCAACTAGCAAGACAGACACATCATGTAGGTGACTCTCCCTGTGGTCAGAGTGTATGAAATAAAAGAAACCTGTATTCTAGAATCCATTATCAGGACAGAATAAATCTAGATATTCAGAATCTCGGGTGGTGACTTGAAGTCAGTCTTAGATGCAAGTGGATACATCTGGCTTTGGTTCCTCGCCAAACAAATAATTCAAATTAGCAAGCTTCCCTGTGGGGTCAGAAAGGATGAAAAGACGTTGTTTGGTGACCCCCTCACTTTGCTTCTGTCTTTCGTAGCCTCTCTGTCTGGCCCAGCACCATCATTTCCTGCCAGTGATATGATTTCAGGTAATGTCAGTTGTTGTTGATTGACTGGCTATAATGTGTGTTGGTGAAGTTACACTGGGAAGTAGGGTAGTGGTTTAGGGTCCAAACACCCTGTCTTCATCATCACTAAATCTAGCAAATGTCTGAAATATTTCAAGTCTCTATTTCCTCCACTGGATGAGGTAGGTGCATCCTCAGGATGTGTAGAGATTGGGTGACTTTCCTAGTACAGAGGGAGGAGCTGGTACTGTACTCAGCAGTGACAGAACGCACTAGATAGATACAGCCATTATCTTCTGACTCCTAAGGTCAGAGCTTTGTAAGCATTTCCCTCTGCACACTGCTTTCTTCCTGGCAGAACAAAGAAGCCAAAAGCATTAACTCTCATTTGCTCCTGGCTCTTTGGACCCAGTAGTTCCCACATTTCAAATTCAGTCAGTGGCTCTTCAGGGAAGGTCTTTAAGAGCAGAGTTCAGAACTCAGGGAAGAATCAGGAGAAAGGAAGTCTGCTTCTTTCAAGACAAAACAACTGAATGAACCCTTTTGAAGGTTGCTCTCAATGACTGTGTCGTTCAGTTGTTCTGCTAAAAGAGTATAAAGAAAATGAACAGTGGCTCCCAGAAATCGGTTTATTTTATTTTTTACGAGATTGCTGGCAGGATCTGGAAATGAATTCTCACATTTCCAGAAGAATAGAAAGAGGCCCACTCACCTATCAGCTCCCAAAAGTAACAGATATTTTAAAAAACAATCCTTAATTGCCCACAGAATAAAGAGATACAACTCTGCTTTTTATAATGTTTCATACATTTGAAGACAATGATCAAGGTCTTGAGAGTGAAGAATAACAGAATCAGCATTCTTTATTTTCCTATTTTGCCTACAAACAGACAAACTGCCTTAGAAGTTAGTGCTCAGGATTGGTTAGTGACAAACCCCAGAGAAGAAATCCCTTGGCTTCTCCTGCCCATCTCAATGGATAGAGTGCTGCCAATGTCTGGCTTCTGGGTGACCAAACAGTGCTTCCTGGTAAGAAACAGACCTTGCTTCCAGTTTTCCGACACACTTGTATGACAGCGAGAGAGATTACACCGGGGCCTTGCTCTGATGGCCTGCTCTGTGGATCTTCAGTGGCCCCACTGTTTGGATGTATTCAGCTGATTCTTCGCTGGCCTCTGCAGAGCCTGTGCCTCTCCTCCCCCTTCTCGTACAGCCTTGTGAGCATCGGGAAGAGTGGTCCCCGGTTCGGCAGACAGCAACCTTACACTGCAGGTAGACCACATCGTAGCTTTTGAGGAAGCTGAAGGCATTGAACTTGAACTGGGCCACGTTCTTCCCAGAGGTATGGAGGTTGGAGTAGGAATTGTCTTTGATGCACCTGACGGGGAGGAAAACACAGACCTAAAAGGTTAACTAACACATGACATAAATTTCCTTCAACCCACATAACCAGGCTGGCTTCTAAGGTTCTAAATGCCAAAAGGAGATCTTCCCACTACCCTCTCTTTTGTGAAGCGACAACTACTACTATACTCCTATACTACTATGCTACTACTGCTACCACCACCTATGGTTTCAACACCATTGTTAATGGAAACCCTATACCTGGTCATAAACAGAAAGGAACTGTTAAATATAGGAAAAACAAGTCAAGGTTTTGCCTGTAACCCTTGCCTTTTAACTCTACCCTATTTTACCAAAGAAAGATTATAAGGTGGAATGTTACATTTAAAAATGTACTTTGATTTTCTTTCAAAGTTTATCACAGGCCTGGTAATGCAGGTCAGTGGATGAGGGCTTAATTACCTACCACTCGCAATGCTCTGAGTTCAATTCCCAACTCTACCCAAAGAAAGTAGATTGTAAGCTGTAGGGTGACATAAGTGGTGTATTAAGAGGAGATGAAATGTTATGGAAATGTATAGTTCAAAAGAATCAGAGAAGCTAGAAAAGGTAGGCATAGGGCAGGGAAAGAACATAAGACAAACATAATGAATGGGGAATGGTTTCTAATCCAACTGCTTGGATAAGAATGTTAAATATGAATGGTTCATATTTACACCAATGTAAAGACAGAGAATAGATTACAGGAGAATCCACAAAACCTCCAGCTACGTGCTCTTTACAAGATAGCCGTGTAAATACACAGACACTGACATGGAGATGGAGGGAGAGCAGCACAGCAGCTGCTCCTTTGCTCAGAACAAACTTCAGAGCAGACAGAACTGTCAGGGACAAGATGGATGCTTTGTAACAACAAAAGAAAGGGTCAATCCTCTAAGAGCAAATCCTCACCCAAGATAATCGAAGTATGAAACAATCTTTATCCCAATATAATAATCATTAATATAATGCACCCACAGGCAGAGCGTTAAAATATGGGAAGCAAAGGGAGCTGAAGTGAGATACTGACAAACTCGCTGTAATAACTGGATGCTTCACTATCCCTCTCTCAACAATATATCCAGTAGGGAGGAATTCAGTAAGGGTATAAGTGACCTGAGGAACACTATCAATCTACTAGATCTTGTTGACATTCATTAAACAGTCTATCCAATGCACATTCTCCTCAATCCAGGTAGAACGTTCATTAGGATAGACCATATTCCAGCCCATAATAAATACTTTAATAGTCTTAAAAGGATAGAAATACATCGTCAGGTAGCAAGGGGATTAAACTTAAAATTAATGGCAGCAATCTTTCTGGGAAATTCTCAAATATGTGTAAGTAGACAGTATATTTTCAGACATCTTTTGTATCAAAAACGTCCTTAGAGAAATCTAAGACTATTTTGAAAGAATTAAAATGGTGCTTGTGGTGATGTGGTTGAGAAGAGCCCACAGAGGCTCACTTTTGAATGCTTGGTCCCCAGTTGGTGGAACTCTTTAGAAGCCTGGTTGGAGGAAGTGTGTCACTGGGGTAGGCTTTGAGGTTTCAAAAGACTAGTGCCGTTTCCTGTGTTCTGTCTGCCTCCTACTTCTGAATGGAGATGGAAGCTCTCCACTTCTCCTGCTGCCATCCCTTCCCTCTGCCATCGTGGACCCTAACCCTCTAAAACCGTAAGTCAAATTAAACTCTTTCTTTACAAGTTGCCTTGGTCACCATGTTTTGTCACAGCAATAGAGATGTAAATAATACAATACCTAACTTACCAAAATTTGTAGGATGCAGCTAAGGCAACACTTGGGGAGGATTTATACTATTAAAATGCATATAATTTGTAAAGATGTCCAATCAACCTAAGATTTAAAGGCTAGAGAAATGGGAACTGGTTAAGCCTAAAGTAAGAAGAACAGTGTGCTACCTGTGACATCCTGATATCTAACTGAACTTCCCACCTTAATAATAAGATCATAAGAGGGGTCAGAAGGCAAGAACCTTTTCCCTCTAGAGCGCCCTCTAGTTTATGCATCTCTTGCTACAGCTCCCAGAAACCTGTGGCAGGTGCTGTCTTGCTCCTCTGTTGATTTTTGGCAACAGGTGCCTCACTGTTCCCCAGGGGCCTAAGGTTACTGTGGCTCTTACCACACTAAAGCTGTCGCTGAGGAAACAAGCTTCTTAACTAGCCTCCAGTTTTCCCTTCATGAGCGTTTAGCCCCTGACCTCCAGGCATGACCACTGCCAACGCAAACACAGAGCAGCTGGGATCATCCATACTTAGGAGACCCCCACACTAGGCCATTAACATTCCTTCATATAGGGAGGGAAGGGAAAGGCCATTAACTCCTCAGCAGATTCCAGCCACTCCCTCCTTCATGTGATCTCAGCAGCGTGGGGATAGGAGAGGTAGAAGGTTAACTGAAAGGAGCCCCATCATCCACATCATTCAGCAACGTTCACAGGTTGATGTCATCTATGCTGGGGTGGCACACTTGGGGGGACCTATGCAATGCCTTACTCATGCTTCTGTACATAAAACCAGAGACCTTACTGGTTCACCAAGTGGACTTTGATGAAATTGGAGGGAGATGCGGGAGTAGTCCTTTGTGTTATCTGGACAAAATAGACACATGTGTAATGTTCCCAGAGAAAGATATGAAATAAGACCTGCTAAGACGTGAAGGAGCCACAGAGACAAACAACTTGCCAAGGTTCTCACTTGGCAAGTCACTTGGTGAATCAATGAGCTTGAAGACATCTGGTTGGTTTAACTAAGAGCTTAGCTTGGGAAAACACATTGACATATTGGTGTGAGCCAAAGTCCTGAAGATCTGTCCTGGGAGAGGGGAACTAGAAAGGAAGGGAGGATTGGTGTGAGAGAATTGTCTGTATTCTGTCAATCATAAATGCTGATTGGCCATGCAGGAAATATAGGAGGGAAAACCAGACAGGAAGTAGAGGTGATGCAATGAGAACAGGAAATTGTGGGAAGGAGGAAGTTGATTCCTCCCACTCCTGCCCAGATCACCGAAGCAGCAGGATGTGATCTGCCCCCCTGAAAAAGGTACTGAGCCGCATGGCTAACGTAGATCAGAATAATGGGTTAATATAAGTTTCAAGAGCTAATAAGTAGCCTGACCTAATGGGCCAATCAGCTTTATAATTTATAGAGTCCTCTGTGTGATTTTCTTTGGGGCTTGCTGGTTGTGGGGAACTGGGTAGGACATAAACCCCAACAAGCCAGACCCTCATGTTACAGAGGATTATGCTAAAAACATGGGGTGGGCTACGAAAGTACTAAATGAGGTCTAGGCTGCTGTATTCTCCACCAGGATCAGTGTCTGCTAGAGACATGTAGGATATCTACACCCTTCTGACTTAGGACTCTAGGTCAGACACTACAGGTTCCCCACAGAAACACCATACATATTTAATACCAACTAGGGAGAGTTTCTATGTTCCTTACCCTTCCTGAATCAGTTCATACTTGACAGTTGTGAAATCACGGGGGTCAGGAGAAGCCACACAGGTGTCCACAATGAGCCTAAGGTTGGGATTGTGGCTGTGGAGGGTGGCCTGCAGGAAGACCTCTTCCCTCTGATGGGTATAGGAAGGAGCTCCAACCCCCATATTCTGGGATTCAGGCGACTGGAGGAATGAAATCGACACATCGTAGCTGACACCGTCCTTCTGAGTATCACTCCCATGCACAATTTCCACGGCAGACTGGCCGTCCACTTTGCAGGTGAACTTCACCTGGGGCACCTTGTGCCTCACGATGACTCGGCCAGGGTGGCCTTGAGTTCTGCCTCTGATGGAGTTGGAGTAGCTGAGAGAGCCTTGATGCTCCTGTGAGGACGAGAGAATCATAGGGAGTGAACCTGGAACCCTGATGCTATGCTTTATTCACGGTGGAGCCCTTTCCTTCCCATAAGCGCCAGGTACCAGCTTCATGACCTTCTTGAGGGCTGGAGTCCCTGACTGGACCACTGTGGTAACAACAGGAAGGAGTGTGTGTGTGTGTGTGTGTGTGTGTGTGTGTGTGTGTGTGTGTGTGTTAGGGGTGTCCCTTGAGTGAGGACTAACCCTTCCCTCCTGTAATTGCCAATCTGCTGAACTTTGAGCTGGGTTGCAGATCCACTCTGGTCGCATGGTGCTCCCTCTCGTTTGAATTCCTTCACACATTCAATGCCCACTGGAACCCCATCCCTCTGACCATATCTAACTTGGATCTTGGATCTTCTCTGCCTTTGACTCCAAGCTAGTTTTGGCCACAGGTGAGCCACAGGTCTGAGCCTGCCAGCCTGGGCTGCTAGCCTTGCTTCTTGCTTGTATCCTCCACACATCGCCTCCAGCAGAACATAGAGGCCAGAGTGGAATGGACAGCATGATGGGCAGAAGCCACCACTTGTACTTCGTCACGTACACAGCCTGACCACGGACATTTCTGAAATATGTGTGACTCAGATCCAGAGACTCTCTGCCAAGGGCCGCCTCCTCCAAGCTTCTGGCTTGGCTTCAGCGGCAGAAATCTCTCATTTAAGAAGTAGAATTTTCAGAACAAAAAGGATAAAAATGACCACAATCTGTATAATCAAGCAGCAGACAAAATGGAAGCGAGCTTATGTTGGATGCCTCACGTAGTCGGTTTGAATGAATGCTACCTCCACAGTATCAGGTGAGCCTTTTGCATACGGACAAACAGGGAAGCAGGAAAACAGTGTCAGGATCATGTTTTGGATCACATCACTGCCAAATATACTGACGGGGTGTCATGGTGGAACAGTTCCTTCGTATATACATGGGTGTCCTTAATATCAGTGCTATTGTTTCATGATCTAAGAAGGTGGTTGCAGAGAATTAATAGACACATGTATTTAATGGCTCCAGAATATCCTAGATGTTTGCTGTCTATAGTGTGGAACATAACTAGTTGCTTAGTTAGAGACACAGCAGACAGACAACCTTTCCTCCCTCATCCCCAGCACACTACCATGCTCGTGGTAGATATAACATTCAGTCAAGAAGCATGTTATGAGAACCGCTGGCTTTGAAGCTGGGAGAATATTGTCAGCCCAGTCATCACCTGTCCAGCCATCACACCCAACACACTGTCCACATCACTGCACTCAATACTCGTTCTGCCTCATCTCAGGATGAATATGTATCTGAAATTCTCCAAATGGGGGAACATCAGGCAAATGAGTGAGCCGCTTCATAAATGAAGCAGCTTCTTTCCCTATCTTCCACATGTTTTAACAGGAAGTTCAATTTTCTAAGCTTCCCTTCTTGGACTCCATCCATGAAGGTCATTGCTTTGCTGTCAGCCTCTTACCTGCCTGATGGTGCCACAGTGGCCATAAGGAATATTGAAGATGAGGTAACGCCCAGTGACTTGGGGGCGACACATCCTATCATTTAAATGGATGTCCCAGGAAGAGTAGCCTAATCTCCGGAGATAACCTCGGTCAATGACGGCTTGGAAGAGGTGAGGCAAACAGGACAGCTGAGCTGCAGGAGAGAGAGGGAAGCTGGTACATGGATGTGTAGCTCAGGGGCTGTCCATATGCACTACAGGCAGTACTCTGAGGTGGGCTGGGCCTGCTCTGCATCCCTGACTCCAGTGGTTCTTAATGATGGGTTGCATATCAGATATTTACACTACAGCTCATAACAGTATCAAAATTATAGTTATGAAGAAACAACAAGTAATTTTATGATTGGGGCTCCCCATAGCATGAGGAACTGTATTAGAGGGCGACAGTGCTAGGAAGGTTGACAACCACTGATTTACTTTACTCTATCACCTTGGCTTTACTTCCACTGATGTGGTGTGTGTGTGTGTGTGTGTGTGTGTGTGTGTGTGTGTGTAGGAGGTCATAGGTGAATGTTGGATATCTTCCTTGATGACTGTCTAGTAGTTTTTGAGAAAGGTCTCTCATTTAACCTGGAATTTGCTGGTTTGGTTAGACTGGTTGACCAGTAAGTCCCCAGGATCCTCCTCCTGTCCTCACCTTCCTAGGGATGGGATTACAGATACCTACAACTGTTCTTGACTTTTATGTGGCTGCTCAGTATCAAACAAGTCCTCATGCTTTCATGGCAAATACTCTACCAACAGAGGCATCTCCACAGCCCTGGCTTTTTTGGCTTTGCTAATATTCTCAAAAAATAAAGGCTTTGAAATCAGGCCATATCAATAAGGAATCCTGCTTACAACCAATACCCCATAAGCCACAGGTCAGAGCCTTGCCCAGGAGACTAAAGGAGAACTCATGACTTGCTCAGTCTGAACTTGTATCTGTCTCGACCATTACACAGAGAAGAAGCTGGAAGAAGTGTGGGAGCAAAAATGAGGAGAGCCCAAGTACAAAGGGACTTCTTCACAGACCTTCTGCTGTCTAGGCAAGTGGGCCTGCCTCCTAGTCTGCTTTTTCTCTCCACTCAGCTACTCTCTTAACTCCTTCCCCAATCAGCTCCTTACCCCAGGAGGAGGATGACTTACCATTATCCTTGGGCACAGGAGAGTCAGTTTGACCTGTTTGGGAGAGATGAAAAGTGACTGTCACAGGTCTGAAACACCGGAGGAGGACTGTCCACCCTCCAAACCATTGCAGCTGGAGTGTGAAGGCATGAGGACATCCCAGAACATGCAACATAAAGAGACAGAGAAGGAACCTGACCCAGGTGAAGTGGTGCTGAGAACACAGGTGTTATCAGTATCAAGGTTTGTGGCAACAGAATAATGGGGACTGCAAACCCCACTGCATGGGCGAACTCTGGTTTCTGTCTCTTTCTATATCCAAGCATGCTCGGGGCCCCAGGAGGAGAAAAATGAATTCTCAGGATATCAAGGATTTCTCTGGCTCAGAATCAAGACCAAACAGTGTCCCAGGGCCACAGCTGAGACCAGGAAATGTGCATCAAATTCACTCAAGGGCTTTAGATACAATAGATCCCTTTGGCATGGGACATGGTTGAAATGAGGCCACCTTAGTGTACAGTCCAAGCACAGTGTGTGGGTCCTTATTAAAAGTGGGCTTCTGAGGGGGAAGGCTGAACTGTGAAGAGGCATGAGAACAACCAACATCTGGAAGGTGCAGACTTCAGAATAGGTAGACATAGCTTCTGTTTCTTGGGTAGTGCTTGGCTTCAGGGGCTCTGATGTTGTTTCTATTTGGGGCCCACGTCTATACGAAACAGGGCTTATTCAAGGCAAAAGCAATGACCACGGTTTGTTTACCTGTAATAAAAGTGGCAACAGAATAGATGAGGTGAATTCAGGATTCTTCAAGTCTTAGAATTCCCCAACTCTCTGAAATTGTCATGGGCCAATTTGGGGGTAACTTAGAATGATCAGAAGGAGGTACTGGACCATACAGGTGGTGGTCAGAATGCCAAGCCAGACACAGCTGATGATACACTATACTCCAGGGAAGATACAGGCTAACAGCTTTGATGCAAAGGACACAGTGAAGCCGGGACACTGTGGAGGGTGTTTTAGACTCCGAGGGTTACATAATGTCTCCAGGATGGGACCCTAGATAAGCACAGAGACTGAGAATGTAACAGGATGAACTGTGCCTGGCCACAGCAATTGCTATGTCTTAATAAATCTATGACACTGTCATTCTCTTCTTTAGAGCTGGGATTAGAGCAGGCTCATTCATTAACGAAGTCAGGCCAAGGATCAGAATGTCACTACCACTAGCTCTTTGTCCTAAAATGTGATGAATGGCCAAATGATGGGTGGTGCTGAGGCAGGACCTGGGACTTTTACAGACCTAGGCTCCTACCTGCACAGGAGCCCTACCTGCACAGACCACACTGGCATCCTCACGGTGGTGGCAGTTGTGCCTTATCCAGCCAGCGTGGGCACAGCTCTCCAGAGAGTCCTCCAGGCCGGAGCAGCGCACTTCATTCATCAGGATGGGGCCTGTGCCTGCCCCAAAGCGGCTTCTGCCAGGGGCGCCCACTGCATGACCACAGCCCAGGAGACGGCATACAACTCGGGCATTCTTGATGTTCCAGCGGTCATCGCATACGGTTCCCCACACCCCCTGGTGCCGCACCTCCACCCGGCCCTCACAGCGGTTTCGCCCGCCTACCAGGCGCAGAGGCAGGTCTGTGGAGTGAGAGAAGTCAGAAGTTCAAGTCCAGTTTCAATAGTAGACACTATCTCAGGGAGACTCTTGCAGTGAGGTCCTTCTCTATACCCCTAAATTACACTTAATACGAGTATTCTTTCTGTTGCTGTTTTTTTTTTTTTTTTGAGACAAAGTTTCTCTGTAGCTTTGGTGCCTATCCTGGAACTAGCTCCTGTAGACCAGGCTGTCCTTGAACTCACAGAGATCCTCTTGCCTCGGCCTCCCGAGTGCTGGGATTAAAGGCGTGCGCCACCACTACCCGGCTAATACTAGTATTCTTAAGAGACAACACCTTAACAACAAAGCTGTATTATGTAATTTAGCCATTCTACCCTTATACACAGACTGAGCTCCCACAGGATTCTCCAGGAGTTGTACACTGGCAGCAACCTCGGTGTTCATCCACAAGGCACTACCACATATATCTACTTCAAAAAAAGCTTAATTTTGAATAGAAAACAGTATAAAAGCAAAACCTATACAACTATGTTGTTTACTCACGAGGATCCATCGTGAGAAATGTGCAGTTAGGAAACTTAGTTGTTACACACAAGAAGTCGGCTGTGGGGTCACTAGGACACAGTCTAAAAGTTGCTGTTGTATGTGCATATGTTGACTGAAACATCTCTGTGGGAGGTATGACTGTATTACCATATACACATGACTGTATCTGTGAAGTGCTATTTTACAGACAGTTACCAGGTGATTTGTCTCTGTAGTCAGCCCTGCACTGTTTGGCCCAAAGAAAAGGCTTAGTGAATATTAAATCCACAGGCATTAGTTCTGACTACAGTGTGAAGGTCTATGCTACCTGCACTCTCTTGGCCTACTTGGTATTATAATACCAAAAGAAAGATACGTGAGTAGCTAAGATAATGGGTCAAGGGTGAAGTTCATTGGAGAGAGTGTTGGCCCAGCACGTGTGAGGTCCTGACTTGCACTGAGCAATGAAAAAAGTACAACTCATGAATACACATGGGTGTCTTCAGAAGGAGGTCCTGAAGATGACTGTCAAGCCTGTGTGATCCATGTTGTGCATGTGTTGGCATGTAATACACCTACAGGCTCGTAACCCTCTTCCTGTAAGGTGTAAGAAACCTATGAGAAAAAGAAATGTGATCCTGACGGTATCAACAGGCGCTTTATTATATTAGTGAGTAGAAGGAAACAAAGCCTGCCAGGCAAAGGGGTCATTGTCTCATCAACGTAAAAGGTTAGAGGTTTACAAATGGGTACCCTCACAGGCTCACGTTTCAGCTTCAAGCTGAAGAGGAAGCTCTCTCTTATTTCAGATCCCAATCCATCGAGCACAGGAATGCAGTCCATGATGTTTGTTTGATATGATATTATGGTATCAAACTATGACAAATATTGTTATGTTTTGTGTATTCTCCAAGAGTAAAACAATTTGTTAAGTGCTCAAAAAAGAACTTTATATGCTTTTTTTCTTTTCAAGGAAAAACACCCATTCGATTTTATAGGCAACTTTTTTTGAAGACAAAGTCTCACTTCTTAGTCCTGGCTAGCCCCTGGACCTTCTCATATAGACTAAGCTGATTCCAACCCACAGAACCTCACGGGCCTCTGCCTCCTGAATGACGGCGATCAACGGTGTGTTCCACCGTATCCGGCATTAGGGAACATTTTAAAAGGGCAGAGAACAAAGGGGAGGATGATGTTCCTCAGGTGCAATTTTAAGTGAGAAAGATGGAATATTCTATTCAACTACAGAGAGGGAAGCCAGGAAGAAAAGTTACAACAGATGATGAGATGGAACGGGATGGCATGAAGTAGAGGACGGAGCTTTGCTCCAGCAACAAGCACGGGGATCGTTACCAGGTGGTGGAGTCACTTTTGTCAGGGTCGGAACTGGGTCTGAAAAAAAAAAGCAGTGTAAAGAAGGGATTGGTATGTGACGTCATTGACATTTTACATTAGACGTCAGGTCTTCAATAATAGCCTATTCCAGAGCAGTATGCATTTATCATGTGTGTTTCTGTGTGTCGGCATGGCAGGGTGGATGAGAAGTTGGTGCTGTGGAACACGGCTTACGATGATTCTTCTGGTGCACAGTTCCAGCGTGCCAGATAAGCCACTCCCTTAACTCTTACAAAGACGAATCTGAGAAATTTTTAGCACTGCTTTAGCATTGAAAAAAAAATGGAGACTTCAGAGGAAGTCTCCTGTGTAATGGGAACAGCCATTCTCTGCATAACCCTCAAGACCAGAGCCCCGTGCTCTTTCTAACTGCTCTGTATTTGGGGAGCATAAGTGAGGATTGCATTCATGCTGGGCTCAGGGTGGTGAACTGGAAAAGAAGGAAGGTAAGGGTTTAGGGTCACATTAACGACAGACAGAGCATCAGAGGGCTTATTTCTGAAGACAGAAATGTCACAGGGGTCAGAGGATTCTCCAGCAAGTCCTGGGCCTTGGAAGGGCCTTGGCCGAGAGCTGCGAACCTGGTTTGTCTGGCCTTAGCTCTGTGATCTTAAGCAAGAATGCTTCCTCTCTGTGACTCCTTTTCCTCTGAATCTAAGAGATCATTTCTCCACTCTCCTCCTGGCTCTGCGGCTGAGGCTCTATTAGCCTGTTCATCCCGTCCCCAGTATCTACCGGCCAGCACAGAGTTCAGTGTTATAAGCTGTGGAGGCCTGTCGTGCTCTAGGGGAGCTTACTGGCCTCTCTCATCACCGATTTCCTCTCTTCTGACTTCTCCTGGAGAAACAGGAGCTATGAGCAGTGCTGTTCTGGGCTGTTTTTGTTTGACTGGTGATGCACAGAAAGTGGCTCCCATGGGAGCTGCAATGAGCAGGGAACATGCCCAGGGAAGAAGGGGCCTCGGCTAAAGTGGAAAAGGGAGAAGAATGTTTTGATTTGACCAACAGTATGATGTAAAACAAAAGAACAAATAAAAAGAATTCTTGTCACAACCTATTTGGGGTGTGTGTGTGTGTGTGTGTGTGTGTGTGTGTGTGTGTGTGTGTGTTCTGGTATGCTGATTGGGTCAAAGCATGATCTGAAACAACACAACCAATCAAATGAGATGTGGACCCTCTTCCCAGCTTCCCTCAGGTTCATCTGATCAATACTAGGACATGGGCAAAAGGTGCCTCTGTGGAAGGGACTCTTTGGCGTCTGTGACTGAGTGAAGAAAACATGGATACCATCTCTGTGGGGAGGATCTGGGTTTTCTGTGCATGTCAAGCTTATTTTGTAGACAAAGTTTAGGACACAGAGGTTTCATTTCCAAATAGAAAGAGCAAAAGCTATAGTTGTGTTTCAGTTAAGAAAGGTGGCAGGCTGGACAGATTCCCAGAGATCTTGGCAGCATCTCAGTGTAAACCAGAGAACACAATACCTTAAGTGAATGTCCTTGCATTAACATTTATTTGATGACAAGGGGAATCATTAAACAGGCTCATTTTATCAATACAACATGATAAACAAGAAGCCCATTACGAAGTTTGAAGACAACACTGAGGACTTAACCGCCTGGAGAGGTCAGTTCTGCTGAGGTTGAAGAAGTATCTACAGACAAAGAGTGGAAGAGACAGAGCTAGGTTCATTTGTCAAAAAAGAAAGAAAGAAAGATAGATAGAAAGAAAGGAAGGAAGGAAGGAAGGAAGGAAGGAAGGAAGGAAGGAAGGAAGGAAGGAAGAAATAAAGAAAGCAGAAAGCCCTGACTGTTTAACATAAGAAATGTGACAGGCTGAAAAGATTCCCAGACATCTCTATGTGACTGAAGTTGCATCTGTGCGTAAACCCAAAGAACAGGATGTTTGAAATTCTACTGAATGACACAGAGGGCAGTTTTCACTACCTTTACTTTGTGGTCAATAGGATTGTTAAGCAGATTCAGTTTTGAAATAAACCTAATAAATAAGAAACTCATCTCTTTAGTTTAAATAGCACAATGGAGATTTACCATTTGGAGAGCTTGCTTCTGCTGAGGCTGAAGAAGTATCTATAAAAAAAAAAATGAGACATAATGATGACATTTGCCAGATAGAAAGGGAAAGGCTTTCCTTGTGTTTAAGAAATGTGAAACTTCTGGATAAGATGGGGAATTAGAACCTGTGTTGTGTCTGCATGAACATAATTGGGGAGAGGGACTGAGTGAGCCCCTACAGCGCTCCGGACAGCTCTCTGACCTGTGAGCTGTATTTCTCAGAGAGCATATCCCACAAAGGGCACTGTGGCGACTAGGTCACATCTGAATGGAATGTGGGCTGAAGCAAGAAAAGGAGTTGGTTAGCCTGCTGCTGGCCCCACTGGGACACTGTCCCCGGGGCTGACCTCCTGGCCGGTATTAGCTGTGAACCATTCACAGGACTGGCACTGGAAAAGCCAATGGAAATCCTGAAAGTAAAAGAGTCTGTCAAGTAAAAGCCTGGCAGAAGGCATCCCCATTGGACAAGACCAAGCAGAAGAACGAATGTCAGGGTTCTACAACAAGCTGAGACAATAACACAGCCTGAAACATATAAAGAGGAAAAATTAACAAGTATGACTCAACTTGCAAGAGATCAAGCCTAGGAACTTATGGGACAGAAGAAGTCTCGAGGCCACGCTCATCAGCAGAGGGACAACTGCGTGCCTTTTGCTGTTGCAGACTGGACTGCCAGCCAACTCCTCTCACAGTCCTTGCCACCCAGTCGAGGCCACCACTTCCATCTTCACTCTCACCATGGGAAGTTAAATTTGAAGACAAGGCACAAAGGAACCATGGGCGTGAGGAAGATGATCCACCAAAAGCTGAGGAACCAGCTGTCAGGGAGATTGTCCTGAATAATTGAAAATCAAATGATGGGAAACTCTAGAGTCCAACAGCAAAATTTGTGAATTTAGATTTTTTGTTTTAATTAGTGTAAGCTTGATGTCAGGTTCAAATAGTCTCGTGGTTCTAAAATAAAAAAGCTTGAGCTGAGAGACAGTAGAATATCTAGAGGTCTGGACATACTGAGAAAGACACATTTAAATTGCACACATCTAGATCTAAGTGGAAATATATGGAAAGATATCAGCACTTTGAAACCTTTAAAACCTTGGGAAATCTAAAAATAATGTGGATTTGTTGAACATGCGGCTACTAATCTGAATAATTACTGAGAGAGTGTTCTAAATCTCCTGTACCAACTGACTGTCACCAAGAAAACCAGTAATCCCCTGACTCAGATGCAGAGTTTGATGCTATGATGAAGAGGAGGAGGATGAAGAATAAGATGAGGACAGTGAGAAAGAAGAGTTTGATGAAGAGAAGAAGGACGGTACAGAAGGAGAAGATGGCAAACCTGAAGCCGTCGGTGAAGGGGAAGAATAAGGACATGACAGAGAAGCTGATGAAGATGCAGATGAGGAAAAAAGCAGGAAAGATGGAGAGGAGAGGAGAGGAGAGGAGAGGAGAGGAGAGGAGAGGAGAGGAGAGGAGAGGAGAGGAGAGGAGAGGAGAGGGGAGAGAGAACAGATGATGAAGGAGAAAATTATTAATACATCAAGTCCCATGCAAAACCAGAATCAGTTGGTTGATCTGCATTGGTGGGTTGTTTGTAGCTTTGGTAGATGTTGAGAAAAGCCATGACACAAAGTCCAGGAGACCCACCCACTCTAGGAGCCAATGAGTGTTCCCGTGACACTCTGCTCTCCCCCACTTAACCTCTCATTGGCAGTAGTAATCGTCAACACCAATCTTGGGAACCCTGCTCCAACAAAACTGTAAAGGTTGTTCATTTTTCATGTAAGTCTCTTGCTGAAGTGTGGATAGTTACCATTGTTCAGGCAACTGTGTTGACCAGTTACTCCAAGATTGTAACAACACTTTTAGTTTATGTTCAGCAACAAGAAAAGGCTTAGTAAATAAAATCTTAACCCTTGGGGTCAGGAAATAACACATGATAGAAAAGACCTGGTCAACAAGTTTGGAGGCTGCAGAAGAATAGAATTAGATCTGTATCTCTCACTCTCCGTACAAAATCCATTCAAGATAGATCAAGGACCTTAAAGTAAAAGATAAAATGTGGAAATATCTAGAAGACAACATGGGAAAAAATGCTCATAGATGCAGAAATAGGCAACAACCTCCTGTACAGTACTCTATTAACAGAATAATTGAATTAAATAATTTTAAAAAATGGACTACATAAAATTTAAAAGCTTCTGTACAGCAAAGGAAACCATCAGCAGAGTGAGCACACGGTTCACAAAATGGGAGAACATCTCTAGCTAACTCAGACAGGTGGCTGTATTCTAGAATACATGAAGGACTGCAAAATGAAATCCCTGGGTCCTAAAACTGTCAATCAAAGGATGGACTGACATTGAAATAGACAGTTCAACAAGGAAGAAATGCAAATGTCCAACAAATATGTTTGAAGTTGCTCACCATCCTTGACCCATCAGGAAAGTGCAAGGTAAGAGTACTCCTAGGGCTGAAGAGATGGCAGTGGTTAAGAACAAGGTCTGCTCTTGCAGAGGACTCAAGCTCAGTCTCCAGGATCCACATCAGTGCTTGTGAGGCCAGCTCCAGAGATTCAATAGCCTCTTCTGGACTCAGAGAGCACCTGCCTTCACATCTTTACACACTTACATAAGACTCATACACATAATTTTTAAAAAAGACTACTTCCTTCTTGACACATTCAGAATGGCTGTCATCAAGAAATTCAATGACCAAATGTTGATGAAGATGTGGGGAAAATTCATTCACTACTCGTGGAAGTGAAAACAGGTAGAGCCACTATGAAATTCATGTGGATGGTTCTCAAAAAACTAAAATTAGAACTACCATATGACCCAAGTATGCTACTGCTCAATGCATACCCAAGGAATCTCAGTCCTACCACAGAGACACTTGCACATTCATGTTTAGTGCTACGATATTCACAGGATCTAGAGATTCATTACCAAATGGGTGGATAATGAAAGTGTGGTACACACACACAATGGAATTTTATTCAGCTATAAAGAAAAATGAAACTCGATGGAATTGCAAATTATTATATGACTTAACAAACTCAGAAAGAGAAAAACCACATTCTCTCTCATGTGCAGGTTTTAGTTTTAAATACACACACACACATACACACACACACACGGGCAGATGTAGGTCAACAAACAAAAGAAGGGCTGTCGGAGGAGAAACGTTTTAAGAAAGAAAAGTGGTAATAGAGCACGTGACCGCACAGAAAGGGGCTTCCTGGGATGGAGTGTTACAAATACGCTGTGTGGGGGTGATGACAACAAAGCGTATAAAAATGGCACACTGAAACCAATCACCATATCTGCCAATGTTTTAAAAAGCGGCCAAAATAAATTATGAATCTTTTTTTCAAAAGAAGAAATGTGATAAGTGAAAACATTACCAGAGGAGCTTGCCTCTTCTGCTGAGGTTGAAGATGGATCTGTGGAGGAACCCAGAGAAGGGAGTACTTTAAAATGAGCTTTCTTTCATTGATCTGTATTTGATGTCAGAGTGATCATTAAAATAGTTCATTGTCTAACTTTAATTTCACAAATGGGAAACTCAGCCCAGTATATCAAGCAGCAGGACGGGGGACTTACCAGTTGTAGAACTGGATTCTGCTGAGGTTGATGTATCTGGAGATAAAAAGGAGAAACACAACTGTACCCATTTGCCAAATAGGGGAAAGTCTGAACTGTGCTTACCTTAATAGATGTGATAGAAAGCGTTACCAGAGGATGTCTCTTCTGCAGAGGTGGAAGACGCATCTGCGTACAAGCACAAAGCATGATGCTTAAAAATAGAGTCTTTACATTGGTCTTTGGTTTGTGGTGAATACAACCGTTAAGTAGGTTCATTTTTCCAAATACGATACGAACATAAGAAACACATGTACATTAATGAAGAGACAAATTCTTGGGGTGCAGGATATGAAGTAAAACTGACCCTGAACTGGAAGCTTTCTCTCTGCTAACTAGTTTTCACAGTGCTGGAAGGTTCTATTTAGGCGGCTGGGGGATGATTGTCATAAAAAGCCTTACTCAGCTGTGAACCTTTAATGCTGTGCTAGCATCATGTTAGACGTGATGTGCTCACAGGTAAAAGAGTTCATGACGGTTACAGGGGTAACCTACTGCTTTCTGACTGGGTTTGAAGCCCTCTCCAAGGAAGGGAATTTATATCTAGTATTGCAAACCTAGTCTGTGTAGGTGATCTGTCGCAGCGGGGAAGGTACTGCAGTTGTGTTGCTAAGTGCACACAATGTGACTGTGAAATTGACTCCTAAATACTTACGGACACACCTATAGGTTGGTGTTGTTTCTGGCTTTTGCAGAGAAGTTTACTTTTGCAAGGGTTTGTGGGTTTTGCAGAGACTTACAACTGGTCAAAGTGCTGAGAATAAGTGAACTGTATGCTTATCCCAAAATGAGTCTTCAATATGACCTCCCCAGGTCTCAGGAAAATAATGGGAAAGGGAGAAGAAAGAAAGTAACAGTAGGAGGAAATCTTCAGGCATTCTAGAACATTGTCTTCTGGGGAAAACATAGATGTTGCACTCTTGTCTCTCAGAAGCTATGATTATTTACACAAAACTTGCACAAGATTGGGTTTATCGTCATCCCATTGTGGAGAGAGATGCTCATGAGGCCTAATCCCTCCCCGAGGCAGTTGATGGTTGCTGAGGGAGAGTAAGGGGGTGGGGTGGGGCTATCTTCAGTGTCGTGGCCACTGATAAGTTGTCTGTGCCCTTTTAAGCAATCCCTCACCTATGCTTTGCTAAGTAACCATAATTAAACCGATTAGTTTATAAAATAAAAGCATGAAGTAGAAGATGGTGTATCTAGGAATGGGAACAGAATTAGTAAAAGTATGAGGGGCACAGGGGAGAGAGACAGAGGTGAATATAATCAAAGCACACTATACACAAGCATGAGATTATCATGTAAAATTAACATGTGCTAAAATTTAAAACAAACATCACTTATTATTTAAAACAACGCAGTGAAGTACATTACCACTGGGCTCTTCACTCCTCCCTTCTGCTGAGGTTGAAGACATATCTTTGAGCAAAAGGAAAAAGAAATGTATGTGTGATCACTTTCCAAACAGAAAGAGGAAAAACTGGGATCTTTTTCATTTTATAGCTGTGATGGGGTGAAAAGATCACCAGAGGAGATCTCTGCTGTGACTATAAAGATGCATCTGTGGGTGAACCCAGAGAACTGATGCTCTGAAATGAGCCGAGTGATGCTGGGGTAGTTTTCATTCACTTATGATTAACGTGAACTTTAAATGAGTTTACTGTCCAGATACAACATAACACATAAGGAATTCCTTCATTGGCTAAGCAGCATAAGGGAGGGGCTTACCATTTGAAGAGCTGGATTCCGCTGAGGCTGAAGAAGTAGCTACAGACAAAAAGAAATAAATAGTTGGATAATTTACCAAGTAGGAAGATAAAAGGTTGTCATTTGTTTAACATAAAATCATGACAGGCAGAAAACATTACCAGAGGAGGTATCTTCTGCGGAGACTGAAGATGCGTCTGTGTAGAAAGTCAGAAAATAGGGAGCTGTGATTTTAGTATCTAGGGTTGAGAAGATGGCTCAGTAGGTAAAGCACTTGCTACTGTGGGACAATGATTTTACCCAGTAAGATTTGTTTCTTGTACTTGTTTAATAAAATGCTGATTGGCCTATTAGCTCAGGCTTCTTATTAACTCTTATAACTTATATTAGCCTGTAATTCTTGTCTGTGTTAGCCACGTGGCTTGGCATTCTCGTCTTGCTTCTTCTGCAGCTGGGTGATGACTGCAGATTGATCTTTTCTCTTCCCAGAATTCTCCTGTTCTCATCGCCCTGCCTTTACTTCCTGCCTGGTTGCTCCACCTATTCTTCCTGCCTGGCTACTGACCAATCAGTGTTTATTAAAAATAATAGAAGTGACAGGATAAAAGACCATTGTCCCACAGCACATCCTTTTTTAAAAAAGCAATCATAATTTAAACATAATTCCTGACCATAATTCAAAATTTTCTTTAGGTCCCCATAAGATTATCAGTGCCCCCAATCAGCAGGAAGTACCTTAGAAAACTATGCCCACATTCCCAAAAAATAGATTGTGGATGTTTGCCTTTGTTTAGAATGTTGGTTACAAGTTGTTATGGACAATGGTCAGGACAGAAGGTAAACAAAGAATATTAAATTCAGAGGTCTTATTTTTTTTTAAAAAAAGAGGGGAAATGCTGTGGAAAAATGACCTTTTATCCTGTCACTTGTATTATTTTTAATAAACGCAGATTGACCAGTAGCCAGGCAGGAAGTATAGACAGGGCGACCAGGCAGGAAGGAGAGGCTGGTTGAAGAGAACGGGAGAATTCTGGGAAGAGAAAAGACACAGTCAGCAGTTGTCATCCAGACATAGAGGAAGCAAGATGAGAATGCCTTGCCAAAAAAGGTACCAAGCCACTTGGCTAACACAGACAAGAATTATGGGTTAATATAAGTTATGAGTTAATAAGAAGCCTGAGCTAATAGGCCAGACAGTTTGTGATTTATGTTGACCTCTGTGTGTTTATTTGGGACTAATTGGCTGTGGAACCTGGTGGAACAGAAACCTCAGTCAAAAACTTGCCTTGAAAACTTGTGTCTGAGATTAATTCCCAGAACTCATGTAAAGCTGCCTGGAGTGATGTGTACTTGCATCCCAGCACTGGGAGACAGAGGCAAGAGGAACCCCGTGCCTGTAGCCAGTCCCTCTAACCTATTTAGTGAGCTCCAGGCCAATGAGAGAATCTGTCCCAAAGGAAATGGATAGTACTCCTAAAATTGAGGCCCAACATTGTCCTTCTGCAATAACACTATTGTGTGCGTACACTATCACAGACGCATGCACTATCACACAAGAACATAAGCACACAGAAAATTGATATTTTTGCATTTTTAAATCTTTGTACAATGTAATCCTTAACTGGGGTTATTTTTTAATACAATATGACAGACTATCTGAATACACAAGCAGCACAATAAAGGAGTCTATCAGGTGGAGAGCTTACTTCTATTGAGGTTGAAGAAATAGCTATAGACCCATAGGAGAATAGGCACACTTAGATTATTTTTCTAATGAAAAGTAGGGAAACTCTGATTATGTTTAAACTACTAGATGTGATAAGTTGAAGACATTACCTGAAGAGGTCTCTTCTGTTGAGGCTGACGCTTCATCTGCGTGTAAACCCCAGAGAACAGAATGATTTTTTTTTTAAAAAAAGCTGTCTTTCATTGATCTTTGCATTGTGGCATATGATTTAAGTATATTAATTTCCTAAATATGAATGGCAAACAAGAAAACCTTTTCTGTTGTTAAAGGTACCATACATTTTGCTGGCAGGACATGCAGAAATGAAGCTGTAACTGAGTGGGAAGCTTTCTCCCCAATGGCTAGCTTCCATAGACTTTGAAGATGCCAGGCAAGCTGCTGGGGGAGAGCTGTCAGCAGCAACTTTCCTCATTGTAAATGCTGAAGGCTGCAGTACTGACTTTCCAGGCAAGATACATCCACTGGTGTAAGAGAGGCATGCCTGTTGTCGGTGTAGCCAACTCTTTTCTGATTGGATTTGAAGCTGCTGCATGAGTTCTGTACCATAGCATACCAGAGGTGATGGGTTCTAGCGGCAAAGCTGCAGTTGCTGTTTAGCTCAGTGGATGTAACATCGCTGTCAAACTGACATTTCAGTAAATGTGTTGTGATGAGTACTGGTTTTAGCTTCAGTCAAAGAAGCTTCTATTTGCAATGGTCATAGCTGGCCAAAGTCATGATAACAAATAACTTCAGTGCTCAGCCTTTAATTGGGCACTTCTGTTTCCTTGCCAAGATCAGGGAGTAGCATGTAAGGTAGACAGGTTTATCATGATTTTATATAAGGTTATAATTGGTTCTAATGACTCATACTTCATCATGAAGACCACATTAAAAAAAAACTTTAAACTAAAGCAAGTGTAAAACCTGGAGGAAGAGATGGAGTGCTGTGGAACTTTATTTTCTGGATATGGAGTGGCACAATTGTACTCTTGAGCTCCCCACAATGTGTTTGTCTGCACATGACTTGTCCAAGTTTGAACATATAATCATTGTCCTGGAAGTGGGAGACTCACAAGGCCTGCCACTCCTTAGGGGTCCATACAAAATCTGATTGTTATGGGAGGAGAGACGTTTACTTGAGCGGCACAGCCACTGCTAAGTTGCCAATACTTTCAGAAATAACCCTCAGCTCTGCTTCTCCAGTAGCCCAAATCAACTCATTGGTGCATAGAGTGAAAAGGCAGCAAAGTAGAAGAGGTCATTGCTGGGAAGGGGAACAGGGTTAGGAGGAGTGTGAGGAGGACCGGACGGAACACTGGGTGTGAGTATCATTAAATATGCTATGTACACACATAAAAAAATCATAATGGAATTCAGTGTTATATATAATTAAATGTTATTATAAAGACTGAGCTGGAAAGATCGCTTTATGGGTTAAGATTGCGTACTGTTCTTCCAGGGGACTCAAGTTCATGTCCCAGCCCTCATATTAGTGGCTCACAGCTGTCTGCAACTCTAGCTCCAGTTGGATCCCAAGTCTCTGATGTCCATGGGCACAAACACTCCCATGTATATAAACATATGCATACCCAATACACATAGTTAAGATTTTTTTAAAAAGCTTTTCATTGTCAAGAAAACACTGTGAAGGATTTTTACCAGTTGCCTCTCCACTCTTCCCTTCTGCTGACGCTGAAGACATATCTATGAGCAAAGAGAAGAGGAAATGTATGTGTGATCACTTTCCAAAAAGAAAGAGGAAAAACTAGGATCGTGTTTCATTTAAGAGCTGTGAGGGCTTGAAAAGATCACTAGAGGAGACCACTGCTGTGGCTGATAAGAAATCCATTTCATTTAGTTAAACAGAATATTGAGGACATTACCAGTTGGAGAGCTGGATTCTGATGAGGCTGAAGAAGTGTCTACAGACAAAGGAAAATAAATATTTAGAAAATTTACCAAATAGGAAGAGAAAAGGTTGTCATTTGTTTTAAGCAAAATCGTGAC